TTGAGAGCATGGAGTCTTAGCCACTGGACCATCAGGAAAGCCCCTTTGTTGAGTTTTATCTGCCTCTTAATGTGGGGATTTTAACAAGTCTGTCCGTGGATACCCTTCTCTTCTAGCTTTACACGTTCTGAGAAATCGTTTCCACCCTCATGGCTTCAACAGTCATATATATATATGTATGTATTTTAGATCAGTGCTGTCCAAGAGAACTTCATGTAATGATGGAAGCATTGTGTATACGAACTAGTCAACAGAGTAGCCACTAGCCATATATGAATAATGAGCCTTTGAACTGTTAGTAGCACAACTAAGGAAGTGAATTTTCAATTTAATTTAATTGGCTATAAGGATTAGAATTATTGAGAAACCCTAGTAACAGAGATTCTCATTAAATCTGGGGCGAAGTCAAAGAATTGATGTTTAACCAAAGCTCCCCCTTGTGATTCTGATGCATACATGCACATAGGATTTTTCAGTCTTGGAACTTGGTATATAAACATTTTTAAAAGATCAGGGGTCTTTTTGCATTTTAGGTGCCCTAGTTCAAGAGTTTGTAGGAGCGAGTAAAGCAGGTAAGATGTTACATCCAATCCACTCCTCAGGTCTACCTGCATCACTGCTGGTGTTGTATCAAATATCAAGAACAGAATGCATTTTAAAATTGAAGTACAGTTTATTTTCAATGTTGTGGTAGTTTCAGGGGTACAGCAAAGTGATTCATATATATGTGTTCATTCATGTATATACATATATATGTTCCTTTTCAGATTCTTTTCCACTGTAGGTTACTACAAGATATTGAATATAGTTCACTGCAGTATATAGTATGTCCTAATTGTTTATCTATTTTACATATAGTAGTATGTATCTGTTAATCCCAAACTCATAATTTATCCCTATTCCCCTTCCCTTTTGGTAACGATAAATTTTCTATGTCTGTGAGTCTGTTTCTATTTTGTAAATAAGTTCATTTGTATCATTTTTTAGATTCCACATATAAATGATATTGTATGATATGAACACAATACATTTTTAATGAAAGGGAAAGACTGGAAGATCAACTCAGGGAAACCAAATGAGATACAGAATGGCAGAAACCCTGAGTATAAATAGTGATATCTGTGAACAAAATTCAGGGAACATTACCTGACTAAGTAGGTCAGATAACTGTAAAAAGAAAAGTTTCAACAACTTGACTGTTGGAAGTAGGATTCGGTGAGATATAAGAACTTTATATGAACTAGAAAGGCTGGAATAGGAAATTTCTGAATGAATTCAAAAGAATGAGGAACAGTGGGGTCTGGAAGAAACTTTTAAAACTTTAGGCATTGCCTTATTATATATCTTATTTCAGAGCAAATTAACTTTCTTTGCCAAGAATATTGATGAAAAGTATATTTTAATGCCAGGCCAAGGTTACCAGTTAAAAAAAAAAAAAGAAGATAGAAAAGAAAAAAGGGGCAAAATACTAGTGTAGTTGAATGGAAAAGTCAGAAGCTTTAACTGAGATTTGAATCCTGGCTCTTCAACTTACTGACCATGTGACCTTGGGCAAGTACTTCAAGCCTGTTTTTTCTTTCACTGTAGATTATATCCATACTCTCTGAATCATGGCTTTAATACTGAATAACATAGAAATCACTTATAGAACCTGGCACACAGTAGGCATTCATATACTCCCTGACTCTTCCCACAGTATTCACATTTAAGACATACATCTCTCATAGATAATCCATGATGGAGTAAGTTGATTCCAACCCACACAGAGACAGTCTTAGGGATTGAGAGTGAATTCCTATCATGATGAAAAGCCTACTTCCCATCTAGACTGATATTGTGTCCCAGGTCCAGTAGAACAATTGAGGTTTCATATAGCAAAATTTGAACAGCTACCATCTCTGTAAAGTGATAGCTAAAAGGGCAGATGACAGGAGGAACTTTCACATTTACTTTATATAACTATGCAGTGTAAAAAGTTTTAAAACATGCATTGCATAAACTAAAATCAAATCATTGCTTCACTCACAAACTGATTAGAGAAGAGTGGGGATCCCAAGGATGGAGTTTTTGGAGAAATTACTTCCTTTCATCAACACTCTGGGAATGAGAGAGACCTGGTGGAGTAAAATGACAGTAGGAGGGAAGCTTCTGTTGGGTGCCTTCCAGCCAGTCCCCATTGTCATCATTTATTAATATTTTTCATTTTCTCTTGATAAGAAAATCTCCAAAGATTTCCCAGAGGTTACTTGTGTCCTTAAGTTCCTTTTAAAAAGAAGTTACCCCTCATTTTTTCAGTCTGCAAAACTTCCAGGTGAGCCTGCAGTAAGTGATGAGAACTCTCACAGGTAGCAGTGTTGGCTGTCTTACCTGCATATGTCAAACACTCTCAATGCAGTGACATAATCTGTGAGTACAAAGAGGGGGAGTACAAAGTCTTGGCCTATGACAAAAGACGGGTAGGGAAAAAACCGTTATGATAGAGATAGTTCAGGGCAAGTGAGAGCGGACGGGTGCTGGGTGACCGTACCTCACAGGGGAAAAGAACACAGACAAAAAAGGCCCTAAGAAGTAGATGGGTAAAAGGTCAGCATGTCTTTACCATGGACAAACTTGGCAGGAAGAGCACAAGATGCTTCCAGATACTTCAGTCATTTTCTTGAAATATTCTTTGAAATGTTCAGAAAGGAGGAAAACCAAGCACTAGAAAATATTCTAGAAAGACTGCATTGTGGTATCTACATAAAAGACACTTGCAAACATATATATCACTAACTTTTAGATTACTAGAGAGGTTAATGCAGCAATAACACTTTTTTAATTAAAAAAAAGGCATTTTGATGTTTTAAATGTTTGGTATTTTCCAAGTTTTATATAAAATGATCAATACTGACTTTTGTCAAGTGTATAAAAAGTCTATTGGGATTGACATATACATACTAGTATATATAAAATAAATAACTAATAAGGACTTACTATATAGCACAGGGAACTCTACACAATATAATGCCTATATGGGAAAAGAATCTTAAAAAGAGTGGATATAGATGTATATGTATAACTGAATCACTTGGCTATATACCTGAAGCTAACACAATGCTGTAATCAACTATACTCCAACAAATTTTTTAAAAAAACTCTAGCTACATGTATTTAAATACTTATGCTAATAATTAGTTGATGGAATTTAAGAAAAGGCACATTAATGATACTCTTACCTCACTCTCTCAATCACACAGACCCAGAAAGTTAGAGGATTTCTGAAGTCAGTTCTGTCAGATACCATTAGAACTGGGACTAGAATCCAAACCTTTTGGGTCCTAATCCCATGTTGTTACCACATGGCTAAAGATTAAGAACAAATCATTACAAACTTGTGCCACTGAAAACTTTATTTTTTAGTTTTATGGAATATAAATAGCCTTTTCTCTTTAAGCTGGTATTTCAAAAGGAAATTTGTAAGAGGCTTCTTGCTGACCACCCCCAAAGCCATCAGATACACATTCATATCCAGTTTAGATTCTTCTGCATAGTCTATCCATTAGCTGAGTACCAAAAATAAAGACCCTCCCATCTCCCAAATTCAAGACTGCTCACTTAGCTCTAGACTCCCAGGTGTTCCAAATCTGGTCTACTTGAACGGTAGGTATTTTCTTCTTTTTTTTTTTCATATATAGAAGCTATGTTTAAATCTTTATTTCCTTAAATCTGGAAGCATCAGTAACAAAAAAAAAGAGAAGAAAGGAAGGAGAGGAATGGGAAGGAAAAGAGAGTAGAGAGAAAGAAACCCTGAGAGAGAGAACCTGCATTCATGGCTTTGGGCATTCCCAGTATTCATCCATTGTTAGCTGATCCACTGTTACCCACTGTCCCTGTAGAAAGATCTAAAACTACTCCTCTTTCTGAGGGGGATGGAAAACTTTGATGCATTCAATCAAGTTCTCTTACTCAGTGGTTTTCCCAGTTGCCAAATGCCTTCCATGTGACCCTGAATGAGAAACTGATAAATTAGAATGAGGCTCAAGACATCTTCCCTCTCCTCTTATCAGCTGTAAAGCTAGAATAGAAACTGTATGATGGGTACCAGAAATTCACTCAATTGCATAAATGTCTCATCCAAAAATAAAAGCCAAATACACATTTCTTTGTTTCTTGCATATATTTACAATATAAATACTAATTTGTCTTCAAAGTACATATTCTTTTAACAATTTGCAAAAATTATCTAGAATGGGACAGCAATTTAAGGTAAATCCTCTGTAGTGGTGATTAAGGAAAAAATAGAACTGTTTTGGGAGTAAGAGATTTTAGAAGGAATATGAATGGGCATGATGATCTGAGATTGCAAAGGGAATGTGAAGCAGCTTAGTCTGCATTGCACCGCCAAGACAGCATGGTACAGGACTACTGTGTGAGACAGCAATCGGGACGAGGTGTTGTAAAAACTAAACCTGGGAGATATAAAAAGTACACATGCTTGCATAGTGCATTAATCTTAAAGAAGCTCAACATTTCATTCTCATTTTCAATAACTTAAATGAATAGTACTTAAAACACATCACACAAAATTAAAAGACTTGTGCATATATTTCAGATTTCAACAGTAATGTCAAAAATACACAGTATGATTTTACATAGGATTTGTGCTACATTAGAACACTAGAGACAAACATCACTTGAGTATTAAGGAAAACATTAAATATTAAATAACTGAGAAATAAAAAGTGTAAACACTAATCTAATTTGTGGGGGGGGAGGGGGTTTGCTATTGCAACACATCCAATGAAGTGGTTTCAACAGTACAAAAAGGATTAGGACATGAGTGTTTCCAGTCTACTTGGAATATGTAGATCTCATTCCAGAAATCCTTTGATTAAAAACTGGTCCAGGAAAACAGGAGAAGATCCACTCTCCTGCTTGTTAATTTGGTACACTCCTTTCTATGCTAATTTTTACTTTCAAACTTGGGTAGTGGGCAAATACTTTAAGCTGTCACTCTTTTATCAACATCTTGGTGAAAACTGAGGGTTTGTTGGCGATTCAGTGTAAGATTTGAGTTCATATGCAGCACCGCTATCAACTTCCATTGACTTTCTAGAGAACAGGAGCCGTACATCTCTATGGAGGTAGATCTTTCCAGATTTAGAACTCTGGAACCTAAACAAAGAAACAACAAAAGATGCTTCATTTCAGGAAATAAGTGTTTAAAACAAACAGACCCGAGTAAGTTTTGAGTTTGAAAGTTTTAAGTGGAATTAGTCTTGTTACAGTATTAACAGTCCCTCTTTAACAAAATATTTGACATCTTATATTGCCAAAGCAAGTGCTGCTATGTTAAATGCTTCCCCTTCACTATTCCATACACATTCCACACTCCCTTTTCCCTCTTACAATGACAGAGGTGCTTTCTGTAAATCTGGGTTTCACATACAATCCTACTTTATATTCTTGACACCAAAGCACATGCACCTTTCCTCATCTATAGCATGAAGTTTCAGTTCATGTCAGCCAATTATACTACATTTGGGCATCCTCTAGTTCATACAGAGAATAACCCATATCACACAACCTGCCCTCCTACAATTTTGCCTACAATAAAATGGATTCCACACTTGGAAAGTTACCACGGAAAACTGTATCAAGCTTTGAGGACAACCACAGGATGAGAAAGGACTGCTACCATCTGTAGCAGCTAGCCAAGCCGAATCATCAACAGAAATCAAGGGGAGAAAGTTAGCAGTGAAACGAAAATGGTTATCAAAGCTGTATATGGAACTGCTTCTGTCCTCTGCTAACATCTATGGCATGCTACAGGGATTGGAGTCTTCAATCACATAAATCTATCTGGAAGATTATGGGTATGTCAGACATACCCTTTAGAGATAATTTTTGTGGTTTTCCCTTTGTATAGTAGAAATATCTGGGACTGTGGATGACATTCCCAAATTAGCTGAAAAATCTGGTGGTCAGTTGTATACATTAAAGCAGACCTCAGGCTGGCTCACTCATTCTTTCTGAAGTTTTTCACCTTTTCAATCTGAAAAAGAACATGGTGAACTTTGGGAATTACACCATACTTTCTAAAGTAGTTTCTTTACAGCATTTAAGGTATCTAATCATTGGTTACATATGGCTAAGGTTGTTGCAACAGATTAAAGAAATGACTGGTACCTTCTCCTGATGAATGGGGCTTCTTGGAGTAAGAAGTTAAGATGAATTACTGTCACTGATATGATCAGTCTCCTCCCTGATTGAGGGCTTACTATTAGGAGTAGAGTTATATTAGGAGTAGAGTTATGGACAAAAGACTATTGAGCTTTCTACTAAGCAACAGACTTCCTCACGGAACCTAAAAACTGCACTAGGATATCAGGGCTACAAGGCTTACCACTGGAAGCATGAACTTCAAGAGCAAACAAATTGTTTCTCACAACCTAGAGCTATGAGCTGGGTAGTAAAAGTTTGAGGAAAACATATTTCTGACAGAATAACCAGAATATAAGCTGTATGAGAACAGAGATTTTTGTCACTGCTGCTTCCCTACAGTCTAGAAGCATGCCTGACACATCAATATTTTTTGAATGAATGAATGAATAAATGAAGGTTAAGAATTTCCCTGTCCAACTCAGAAGCCACAAGCACCTACTGAGCACTTGAAATGTGGCTAGTTCAAATTGAGGACAGCAAATGAACGTAAATATCTCACTGATAGTTTTTATGTATATTACATATTCAAATTATAACACTTGAATGTTTTAGGTTAAATAAAACATGTTAATCTTCTGCTACCTATTACTTTTATAAATGTGGCTACTAGAAAATATAGAACTATTTATATGGGTCATATTACACTCCTATTGGGCAGCATTGCTTCAGAAAACTGTTTCACTGCCCCTCCAGATATATTAGCACTTTTTTGTTATAAAATATTTTACATTACACAGCTACCAATAAAAACTCCCCTAAGTCAACAAGTAATAATGACTGCAAAAAAATAAGGCATGTGCTTTCTGCATCCTGGTGTATCATAAAGAGTGTCCAAGTTAAGCAAATTCCAAGGGGCACTTGTCTAGTTAGAGAGTTTTTTAAAATAAAGTCAAAATTCTAAAGTTTTCTTCTGAAATAATCTATTTTCATATTCATTTAGAACATTACCTCAGATGTATGAGGTAGCGTAATAACCGTTCTTCTGCATGTCGGATGTTCTCTTTATTAACACTTCTTTTCATTTCTTGTTTAACAGGTACAGAAAAAGTTCTTTGTCGTAGGAATGTCTGATGATTGGCTGGCATATCTCGCAAGTCATATATCACAACAAACATCTTCACCACAGTCTTATTAGGATTAAATAAGGTCTGAAGAAACAATATACAAATTATTTTTTAAAAACAATGATTTGTTGATTAGACTTAAAATGATTATGCCAACAGTAAAATAGGCTTTGTAATAATAAATTAATCCCAGTGGATATAATTCAGTTTGAGGGAATAAAGCTAATAAAATTTCAGAAGTTTATGAAATGATATTCAGTATTTTTAATGGTTCAATTTATTTTTTTATTTACAGAAATAAGAGATCCTGTAACAAATCAAAATCTTTTAGTCACAAATCTCTTATTAATAATAGACAATACACAACTTTTGCTCTTGTTCATATATTAAGAAATAGTTCCATTAGATTAAACAAAATACAGCTTCACTGAATTAAAACATTCCAGTTCAAATATTTCAAATATTACTTTATTAAAATGCATTAACTGCAAAATGTTCAAAATAACATTTCAGCTTTTCTCACATTTTAAGTGAATAAATAGAATTTTTTTAAAAAATAAAAAGTTTGGTAAAACTAGACTTTGATGTTTTAGGTACATACGGTTATTATAAAATTTAAAATATGTTCTCAAAAAAAATTCTTATTTGGAAATTTTTCCAAGTTTAGAAAATAAAGTTCACTATTATTAGTTACAAAGTACACTCTAAGTAATAATTTATGTCCTTACAGTTAGATTCATTTCAGAAACTTCAGTGACACTATACATTTTTTTTTTTACCACCATCAATATCATAATAGACCAAAATTAAATTCAATCACTATTTGGCCATGAATAACTGAAGGAATATTATTTTTTTAAAGTACTAATTTTTAAACAAAATTCCAAGCTGCTGATTTGACTTTAACCAAATTACCAACACATCAATAGGTAACTTGGTGCCCATGCTTTCAGAAGCTCATCCGTGGCACTGGACATCACTCACTGAATCAAAATGAGAAATATATCAATATTATGATCCAATTTTTGAAATTTAGTGAGTCTTAAAATTAAGGCTAATATATTTAACAACTACAACAACTAGTAAGCCAGAAGTTCAAGCCATGTTTATATATAATTAAACTTACATAAGGAATGAAAGACATACCCAAGTTTCAGATTTAAAATAGCCAGCAGAGTTGGCAGTCTTCAAACAAGGGGTAAATGTGCTGCCTCTGGGTTTATGCCTCATTATTATGACAACTGATAGCTAGTTTTCCAGTGACCCACACTTTCACAAGAGCTACATAGCCAGAGGCAAGAGATCAGAAGATGATCACTCTTTTAGTTCAAGAAATCCATTCACATAAAAATCTTACTTTAAAATGCGATGATTTTTCCTAAGTAAAGTTATATATATGTATACATACTCCAATATAAACATGCATATAAATTGCTTAGTACTATGTTTCATTTCTGTGTTACACAAAATAAACAAATGTACAGACTCTGCCATACTAGAACAATGGGGATGCATAAAAGTGGTCTGACAAAGAATTGAGCACACTGCAGCCAAAAGTCATAGAAAGGCTTGCTGAATTAGACCAGATCCTTAGTGTGAGGAACTCAGCTAGACTCTTTTTTTTGTTGTTGTTAATTTCAGCTTTATTGAGGTACAGTTGACAAATACAGCTAGACTCTTTTGAAAAGAGTTACAAGAGTCAATACTGTAATAGACTTTAGACTCACAAGATTATCCTGGGTCTGACTTGGAGATGGACTGAATCACAAATGGGTCTTTATATAAAATTACTCTTCTAAGTGCTGTGGATCAAAGATAATGAAGGATTACTGCACTGGGCTAGAAGAGTTCTCCTAAGGCAAAACTAGATCAACATCTAGGCCGAAAGGAAAGATGCATTTTTTACCCTGACGTCTGCAGGACTTCATTTCTGCTTTGTGTAACCATCTCATTAAATCAATTTTAGGAATTATTATAGTAGGGATAATTTTTCCTCCCAAGTTCCCTGCTAAAGCAATACTAATACTTGGGGTCTCCTTTTACATGGGTCAATCCCAATTTGTCTTATTATATTAAATAGAAGATACTGGTAATCTAAATTCTAATTATACTGAAAATAGCTCTATTTAAGTTATGTTAACTGTCATATACTATTTTTCTAAAGCATTCACCTTGATTAGCTTATTAATGCTTTCCTTTTATGGAGGTCCCCAAATGGTCATTCCTGAGGCAGAGCAGGGAAACTCCAAACAAAGCTGCAGCCCCACTGTTACTTACCAAAGTTGTTGCAGCAGCAGTAGCAGGAGAAAGGGCTAAGTTCTATATGTATGTGAGAGAATGATTATTGCAATTGTAGGCTATAAAACACATACCACTTGTATTGTTCCTGAAGGAGGTACTCGATAACCCCTTTTACCAAGGGACTCTAAAGTAATCACACCCTTGAAATAAAAGAAGACAAATTGAGTACAAACTGATGCATATATATACACACAAAAGACTAAAATAAAAATAATACATTATGTAATCAATAACTTTTCACAACTGTATTTGTATGGAAAAAAATTCACATGGAATTAACAGAAATACATTCAAGGAATACAAAATAGGATTTCATTCATAAGGAAACAATTTACTATTTCTCCTGGAGATGTTGCAATAAACAATATATAACATCAATGACCATGTTGCTTGAAATTTCTGTTAAGATATAAGATATAGAAGTAAGAAGTTCCTTAACTAAAAAGGAGATAAAGGGAGATTACTCTCTTGTATCATATGGAAAGCAAAGAAGCAAAGCAATTTATTGATCTTTGGACATATGAAAAGTCAGAAATGAGGGATGATCCTGTTTATGTCTGGCCCAAAAAATGAAGTCAATTATTCATTCAGAAAATTATATTGTTATATACATAAATGACTTTCTGACTTGAGGTGGACCAGCATCATCAGCATGACCTGTGAACTTGTTAGAAACACAGAGTTTCTTATTTCTCCCCACACACCTACTAAATCAGATCTGCATTTTAACAACATTCCCCAGATGCTATCATATGTACATTAAAGTTTGAGAGGTACTGTCATATTACACAAAATAATTTTCTGTGAAAGATGCTGTAATTACTGCAGAAGTCCAAACAATGGCAAACAGTATAAATTGAAACACAGGAAGCTCAATTGAATGTGTGAAAGTTTGTAGATAACCAGGATGACCAAATGATTACAGATGGTTATTGTGGTACTTAATTCTTAGGCAGCTTCAAGAAAATTAACTGGGTAAATAGTTATCTTTTGAGTATTCAAGTAGAATAATTGCATGCTCTACAATTCATATCCCATCATTTTACATTGTACTTGCCAAAACATGCTAACCTTAAGTAAAAGTAAATATAAAACAGGACTGTCCCATCAGGTAATATCTCTGTTGGGTTTGAAAGACTGACCAGGGGTAGGGGTGGGGGATAAAAGCAAGGGGACAAAGGTAAAAGGTAAGGCCAGACTCTAATATGTGAATACCTAACCTTCAAGTGAACAGCATTTGACAATCAGAATATTAAGTTAATATGTTAATAACGGGAAATGTTCATGTTCCGTTCAAGGGCACTGAAAAGACATGTGGTTCTTAATGAATCTGATATATCAATGGTCATTTAAATCATGAAACCAGCATGTTAACAAACTGCGTTCCTAACCAAAACAGTAATGAAGCTTTAATAATTTTTCTCTTACAATTTTCTCTATATGAAAAAATGCTATGGTATATATAGTGCTCCTCTTTTTCCTAGTTCCAGAAAGAAAAGCAAAATATATCTAAATAATAGCTACGTTTCTAATCACATTACTCCAGGCAATACACTACTGTTTTTCCTTGCCATCCTCTGTTAAATATATATAAGAACATTGGTGAGGGAAAATCTACTACCAAGCCTGCACTTATTTCCTTTAATATAATTCTAATAGTTTTTAGAACATAATAACAATAAATCAATTTATAAGGGAAGAATATAGATTTTTCTAAAACCTCAAATTTAAGGTAACACTTCACAAAATTTCTAAGCAATGTAAGACTAGTGTTGACAATGGCAAGTTAGGAATTTTAAAAGAGATCAGGAAAGTATTTGGAATTTCATTCATATTATTATTAAATTTATTATTTTAACAATTCCATTATTTTAATTGGTTGGCATATTAATATTTATACCTAGAAAATTACTGTATATAACATAAGGAAGAAAAACACATTTCCTTCTGACATTTTAGAATGGAATAGAAGGATCAAGATGAACTCAATTTGGTCAAAATTTTACACAAAAACTCTTTCTCAAGTGATTGAATAATAGAAAATATGCAAAACTAAATAAAACTGAAGGAAGATATCTTAATATGGCTAATTACAAATAGAAAAAATATATAAAGTATATAGTGTTGCTTTTTAAAAATCAATTAACCTATCTTTGGCTGTGCTGGGTCTGTGTTGCCAGGAAGGCTTTCCTCCAGTTACGGTGAGCGGGGACTACTCTCTGCTGCGTGCGGCCTTCTCACTGTGCTGGCTCCTCTAGTTGCAGAGCACAGGCTCGAGGGAGCACAGGCTTCAGGAGTTGTGGTGTATGGGCTCAGTAGTTGAGCTTCCTGGGCTCTAGAACACAGGCTCAATAGTTGTGGCATAGAGGCTTAGTTGTTCCACGGCATGTGGGATCTTCCTGGACCAGGGATTGAACCTGTGTCTCCTACATTGTCAGTTGAATTTTTTTTTTTTTTACCACTGAGCCACCAGAGAAGCCCCTATAGTGTTGTTAATATGATCATAATGCAAGTCATACCATGACGCTGCCATGAGCAAACCTGCTTTAGACCTTTCTAACTGGTATCACCATGCAATAGTTTCTAAACAGTGAAATGTCACATTACCTAACACTTGGAGAATATTCTTACCATTAACACCGGACTGTAGAGAGATATTTATCTGGCTTTGAGCTAATCTTAAAGGAATTATTTAATGAAAAGCCCAATACTATCTCCACACCACAAAGACAGAATTCTCTGTGCTAAAATTTCACTTTTGTAAGTCAACTGTATAATTTGTTATGAGAAGTCCCAAGGTCATTATTAGAGTAACAAAGTGGGATTTGGTGTCTCAGTTCCACTGGTCTATGATATGTTACCTTATTAAAACATGATCAGTCCTTTGAAAATAGACAACTACCAAAATATAAATAAGATTCCCTAAAAAACAAGATCAATTTTATTAATATACAGTAGGAAAGAACTGTGGTCTAAGATTTGGACCGGGTCATTTGCAAAGGCAACTCATTTTTAATGCGTAAAAAAACTACATAATGGAAAATTTATTAAAGACAATTATCAGAGAAAAGTAAGAGATTCTTAAAGGATATACTAACTTAACCTGATTTAAAATCTTTTCAGTATTTATTCAAAAATCTGTGATCACCTGGATGTACTTTCTGGAGACAGAATGATAAAATCCTTTACCTCTTAATCCTTCATTTTTTAGATGTGAACTAAGGTCAAGGATAAATGTTGTTTTGCTTTTTTTAAAGCACAGTTCAAATTACCTCTTGCTCATGAATTTCAAGCCAAGATTTTTTTGAGCTAATTTTCAGCCAATTCACTCTTTTATCTTGTTTATAACTCCCCGAACGGTCATCAGGAACTCGGTATACTAATGACCTTAGACCTTATCTTTCCACTTCTGTATTAGTATGTGCCAACAGAATATGTGAAACTAATGAGACTCCTTGATGTTCTAGTAAAGCGAAATGGGCATCTTTATAAATGTATTCTAATACTGTAAGCATTCAGTATGATACACATTTTTTTTATATTGAGCTTATCTTAATGATATCTCAATGATATTTTCCATTTTATTATCTAAAATTAACAGCTTTTTTTTCAAAATTATACTGGAAAGTGGATATATCTTTCTATGTTAAGTGAATATCATTTGGTGTATATGATAACTGGGCAGGTTTGTGAAGAACTGTGCCTGTTTTTTGTAACAACCATTGTTATGCATCTTCATGATTATTACTCACAAATATAATTATTATCAAAAAAAGAAAACTTTGAATAAATGATTACATATCATTGTGCTTTTTTTTTATTAAAATATGAAACACATATCAGACTCCTGACTCTCAATTACGTAATAGGATTCCCTTTTCATAGCTTTTATTCATAACAAAAGGTACTGTTGCTAATGTCCTTGAGAATCTAGAAGATGGGGGGAGAAGGATATTAGAAAGAAAGAAGGAAAGAAAGAAACTGGATCAGGTGATAAGCTAGGAAACTCAAGTAGGAAGACAGAAATATATATTTCTATGTCTATTGAAATTTGTATTTCCCAAAGTAAGGCATAACATAAAAATCCTGATCTGACTCCATATTTTATACCATCAGTGTAAACTTCTTAAACACTTGTATTAGTAGCCACTGACTTGTCTTTTGTAAAGGGGCTGACAGTAATCACACACCAGGACCTGGTATCATTTTTGCAGTTGAGGGCTTATTTTATCCTCAAATCTGCTGGAATAAAAAAATGAGAAAGATAAAATTATAGGATCTTAAGGTTCAAGACACTGCTCTTATTCCCCTGAGCTGTTTTACTCTCCACTAAAACATTGGCATAGAGTCAGAAATAGCTAGTATTCTAAAGAACCTTGTTGTTCAGTCATGCAGTCTTTGAGACCTCATGGAAGCACATCAGGCTTCACTGTCCTTCACTGTCTTTAGGAGTTTGCTCAAATTCATGCCCACTGAGCTAAAAAAATCCGGTTCTGTTGTTCAGTCGCTCAGTCGTGTCCTACTCTTTGCAATCCCATGGACTGTAGCCACCAGGCTCTTCTGTCCACGGGATTCTCCAGGCAAGAATATTGGAGTGGGTTGCCATGCCCTCCTCCAGGGAATCTTCCTGACCCAGGGATTGAACCCAGATCTCGTATATTGCAGGCAGATTCTTTACCGCTGACCCACTAGAGAAGTTCAAATTCATTTCTACTTGATGTTATTGGCTGTATTTAGCAAGCAGGCAAACTCGTTTGCAGTCCTGAGGGTAGATTCAGAATAGCTTGCATTTATGGCCAATTGTCATAAATCAGCTTGCATACCCTGCACAGATTACTCATTCTCCCCTAACTCTGATCAGCAGGGCTGTGCTGCTAGAAGCTCTCAAGTCGGAGCCTCAGGAAACCAGGTGGCTTCTGGTGTAAAGTCTCACCCTTGGCATTCCCCAGGTCTGGGCCAATTTATCCATCAATTTCAAGAAACTACACCAGACCACATTCAGAGCTAAAGAAATAAACTGTGTAATATAGTATCCTCGTCTGTTTTAGGAATCCTAGGATTGGGATTGGAAAAAAAAAATGGTCCAAAGATAAACCAAACAGGAGAAAGGGAGTGAAACGGTTTCACAGAAAACGTAGGTCACTAAATCTTTAAACTCTACTGAGATGAGGATCATAGTGAAGACAACTCTGATAGGACTAGAGTGCACAGTAAGGACTTAAGAATTTGTGTGAACTCAGCAAGATATGGAATTACAGCATCACTAATCAAAATTTTATCATTTTTCAAATTATATAAAAACAAGCAAATTTTCAGCATCATCTCAAATACAGAAGAGGATACCTGTCATTGGAGCTTGCTCAGAAAGAAGTAAGGTGCTGTTTTGGCATATTGGTCTCTATGTGGCCCTCAATCCCCTCTTAGGAAATGCTTTATATTTTCAAGCACTGCACCAAAGCAGTACTAAATCTCTTTAAACTTAAAGGCATTTGTCATTAAGATGGTTGATTTCAGCAGAAGACAATTGAAAAATACTTGCCATATAAGGAGAGGGAGCATTATCGTCAGAAACACTGTAGAATGACACTTCAACTGGGAGAGTCAAATGGGTGGGGCAGAAGACACCACTTGCCCCTACCTCTGCGGTAAAGCCATCAACAATGCCAAGAGGATCTAAACGGTAGTTCAAAACAGATTCCTGGAAGATAAAATAAAAGAAATTTTAAGAAATAATTAAAAGTTAACACATTCTTTCTTTCTATTTAAAGAAATATGTTACTACGCTTTCTGGCACTAGGAGAGTGGTCACTGCTATTGCCATGCCCTCATCTCAGAAGTTCATCTGAGCAGAAATCAATTTCCTCCCACATCAATCATATAAAGTTTGGCCTCCTTACTATCCAAATCTACACTGAACTATCTTTAAACTTAACCACTGTTTAGACATAATTGCATAATAAGTTATTCTTATCTCTGTGAAGAAAAATATGCTCTACCAGAGCAAGTATAATATTATAAACTTTCTTATTCCTCACAGACTATACTCCTAGTGTTAGCCACAGAGAAGCACTTGAAAGCTTATTAACAGGTTATATTACAGAAGTTGCATCAAAACAGAAAGTCAAGTACTAAGCTTTGAGAAACAAGTGCTTCTTAAAAACTGTTGTATGTGACATATGTTTTATTTTTTAGTTTAATTTAAAAAACAACAAATACATGTTGGGGAAAATATTTAAGAGTATATAAATAAAAGCAGTAGAGAAGCTCCTTATCCATCTCTCCCAAGTTCATTCACTGAGGAAGCCACTCTGTTATTTAATATTTATCTGCCCAGATATGAGAAACAAGTAAATCTTTTCACAAGCTCTCTTTTATATATATATCTATATATGTATATGTATACATATATATATATGTATATCAACACATATATGCATACATCATGAAATGTGAGTAGCATTTCTTTGATTCAGTAATTCTTTGAAAAGCAACACTCCAAGCCCTCACAAGTCTAAATTTGAAAGTGACATCAGCAATTCTCAAGCTCCACAGTCAAAAAGACCATGTCAATGAGCCAAAGTGGTCTCTGACTTTAGATTTTTAAATGAATATACTAGCATGCATGCTAGGCCCTATTCAGTGCAAAACTACAAGAAAAGGAAATAAAAGGCATACAAATTACAAAGTAAAAAATAAAACCATTTCTATTTCTAGATGATTTGGAAATCTACATACAAAAATCTCCCCCCATGAACAAAATTAATAAGCAAGTTGAACAAGGTGATTGGTGGTTATATATGTGTTTATGCATGCATGCTAAGTTGCTTCAGTAGTATCTGACTCTGTGTAACCCTAAGGATTGTAGCCAACCAGGCTGCTCTGTCCATAGGATTCTCCAGGCAAGAATATTGGAGTGAGTTGCCATGTCCTTTTTCAGCATATGTTTTTATACACACACACATATATATATATATACAACATACATATGTACACACACACACATATATATACCCATTGTTGATGTTGTTTAGTTGCTAAGTCATGTCCAACCCTTTTGCAACCCATGGACTGTAGCCTGCCAGGCTCCCCTGTCCTACATGCATATATATACATACAAACATACACATGTATAAATACACAACACACACACACACACACACCATATATATACACCCACTGTTGTTGTTGTTTAGTTGCTAAGTCATGTCCAACTCTTTTGCGACCCTATGGACTGTAGCCCTCTAGGCTCCTCTGTCCATGGAATTTCCCAGGCAAGAATCCTTGAGTGGGTTTCCATTTCCTTCCCGACCCAAGGAGTGAACCCATGGCTCCTGCAGTGGCAGGTGGATTCTTTACTACTGAGCCACCAGGGAAGTCTATATATATGTGTGTGTATTTCTGTACATACACACATACCCATAAATACATACAAAACCATTCATTTATTCTTTGGCTGTACCTCACAGCATGCAGTATCTTAGTTCCCTGATTAGGGATTGAAACCCTACTCCCTGAAGTGAAAGCAGGGAGTTCTAACTACTGGACTGCCAAGGAATTCTTTAAAATCACTGTTGGTGGGAATGTAAATTGGTATAGCCACTATGAAGAACAGTATGGAGGTTCCTTAAAAATATATAAATAGAGCTACCATATGACCCAGCAATCCCACTGGTATACCTGGAGAAAACCATAATTCAAAATGATACATGCACCCTAATGTTCACTGTTGCACCATTTACAATAGCCAGGACACGGAAGCAACCTAAACGTCCATCAACAGAGGATTGGATAAAGAATATGTGGTACATATATACAACTGGAGTAATACTGAGTCACAAGAAGAATGAAATAATGCCATTTGCAGTGATATGGAGGGACCTAGAGATTATCATACTAAGTGAAGTAAGTCAGGTAAAGATAAATAAAATATAATATGACTTAGATGTGGAATCTAAAAAGAGGGTACAAATAAACTTATCTACAAAACAGAAAGAGTTAAAGATATAGAAAATAAACTTATGGTTACAGCAGGTAAGTGGGGCAGGATAAATTGGTAGATTGGGATAAATTGGAAAAGTCCCTGATGCTGGGAGGGATTGGGGGCAGGAGGAGAAGGGGACGACAGAAGATGAGATGGCTGGATGGCATCACCGACTTGATGGACGTGAGTCTGAGTAAACTCCGGGAGTTGGTGATGGACAGGGAGGTCTGACGTGCTGTGATTCATGGGGTCGCAAAGAGTCGGACACGACTGAGTGACTGAACTGAACTGAACTGAACTATATATAAAACAGATAACTAATAAGGACCTACTGTACTGCACAGGGAACTCTACTCAATACTCTGTAATGACCCATATGGGAAATGAATCTAAAAAAGAGTAGATATATGTATGTTTACAATTGATTCATTTTGCTATACAGCAAAATCTAATACAACATTGTAAATCAACTATATTTCAATCAAAAAAATTTTTAATGTCATTTACAAGTACAATGTTTAAGACTTTTCTAATTGAAGACAACTAAACCCTTGATATATTTGATCTCAAGTAAAACAGTCATTAAACAAAGCAGCACATGTATGAGAGACCTTTAACCATTTTACTTTTTAGATTTACAGAGAAGTTGTAAATATAGTACAAAGAACCATTTGATTTTAAAAATCAACCTCCTTTGATGATGAATCATCTTCTATCAGCCCATCATCAATCCCTTCTGGATCCCAGAGACAGTTTTACCAGTAAGATGTGGTCAAGTCTATTTTCCAGGTAGAGTAACGGATACCTCCATATAACCTGATTTCACCTATGTGCTCCCTCTCTTCCCACCAGCTACCCAACTGTAAGTTATCACTGTCAACAATCTCCCAACTTCACTTGTCATGAAAAGGAAAGGGAAAACAAGAAAAAGGAAAAATAGGAAAGGAAGGAAAGGAGGTGATTTCAAGGCTTTAGAAAAATATAATCTACTTATTTCCTTTTCAAAAACAAACGATATAGCACCATGGATCTAGGTTAAGAAACATCAACTCTTAAAATAGTTTTAAAAAACATTACCTCAAAATTTCCTAAAAGACTAAGACTTGTTACAGGCGGAGCACTAGAACTCAGAAGTGGTTTTTCATGAATATCTGGATCATCTTCAATGTTTAAACATGGCTGAGGACTATTTAAAAACAGAACAAAAAATAAAAAAAGAACAAATCAGCAAATGGGCACATTAACAACAATGTTTTCTAATTTACTTTTGTACAAAACTAAATTGGGAAGATCTGATCAATTTTACTTAAACTATCATAATAAAAAATTTAATGTAAACAAATGTTAAGATATGAAATATCTTAAATTCCTGATTTTATAATCTTTGTTATTGTATTTGATAAAGAATATATATAAAGCATCCTAGATTTCAAGGTGGAATTTATAACATATCACATAGAAGCATCTACTGGAAATACATAGTAGTGTAATGCAGTCTTCTTGCACTGCAAGGGGATCCAATCAGTCCATCCTAAAGGAAATCAGTCCTGGGTGTTCACTGGAAGGACTGATGTTGAAGCTGAAACTCCAATACTTTGGCCACCTGATGTGAAGAGCTGACTCATTTGAAAAGACCCTGATGTTGGGAAAGATTGAAGGTAGGAGAAGAAGGGGACGACAGGGGATGAGATGGTTAGCTGGCATCACTGACTCAACGGACATGAGTTTGGATAAATTCTGGGAGCTGGTGATAGACAGGAAGGTCTGGTGTGCTGTGGTTCATGGGGTCGCAAGGAGTCGGACACGACTGAGCGACTGAACTGAACTGAATGCAGTCTTCTACATCAATCTTCATTTTAAGTTAAGAACTAGAATACAAAGCAAAATTATGTGACTAAGGAATATAATGAGAGTATTATTTGTCAACATGGAACAAACTGCCAAGGCTGTTTTGCAAAGGTGTATAAGACAGAGGAGGAGGTGAATGACCAGAAACAGACAAACCCACTTAAATGTTAAAACCAATGTTAAGTGTTTATTTATTATGATGTCATTATATAGTTAGCAATGCATTGTCTTAATCTCTCTCATCTTTAATAACTGAATGTGTGAAATCATCTTGAAAATGATAAACTGAAAAATAAGATTCCTGTTAAAATTTTGATTTTCAGAATCAACATCATTTACTATGAAAGAGAATTTTATGTAATACTATTTCATATACACAAATGAATTTTAAGATAAATACCTTCTAGACGATAAGCTTTTCAGATGCAGGAATGAAGAATCCAGATCAAAGCAACCTGATTGTGCCTTTCTTTGAGGAACCTAAGGTTAAAATAATCACTTGTTAGGTTTCAAAAGAATTTCAAAAGACTGCATTTTTTTCTTGAATTGACTGAACAAATTTCAAATGAAAGCTAAGCATATCTTAAAAAATAATATAACTTCTCTCTTAATAGTGTACTTAAAATCACCCTTTTTATTACATATTGTCCCTATGTCTTCATTTTATTAACTAGTTAAAAAAGAAACAAATGATTAATAAAAGTACTTTTACTGGGTTTTTTGGTTTTTTTTTTTTGGCCATGCCTCAAAGCTTGCAGGATCTTAGTTCCCTGACCAGAGATTAACTAGGGCCACTGCAGTGAAAGTGCCAAGTCCAAACCACTGGACCACCAGGGAATTCCCTAGGTTTTGACTTTTTAAGAACCAGAACCAGGGACTTTCCTGGTAGTCAGTCCAGTGTCTAAGATTCTGGGCTCCCAATATAGGGCCCTGGGTTTGATCCCTGGTCAGGGAACTAGATCCCACAGGCCACAACTAAAACCTCAGTGCAGTCAAATAAATGAAGAAAGAATCATAACCAGTTTTCTCTAAAACCAAATTTTATATGTAATCTTAATATATAATAAGATTTTTACTTTTTACTTTACATACTTCTGTATTGAATGTGGTAGAAATAAATGATTTATAGCTTTCCAATAAAAGGGGGGAAAAGAATTAAATGGTGATGGGAGCCTGGGGTCTAGGCAATTCTGCCGCTCCTGTACCTATCCCTATCCCAGTGCACATTTCTAAGAACCCTGGCTGGGGCTTCAGAGAATAGTTTTGAAAAATACTATTCTGGATTTTCAATCTCTATTGCATACCAAATTACATTTAAGACCAACCACCAACTAGCTCAAAATACTCTAAAAGTGAAAGACCCCACTGTAAATTAAAAGGTAAAATCACATACAACATGCAGGTTAGATGGATTTGTCTCTAAAATTAAAGCTAAATATGTATAAAGTATCTGAGTGATTGGTCTAATTTGTGATTAAGAAACAGATGATACTGAAAGTCTAAACAATCTCAGTATTTTTGAGAGTTGTATAAGTATACCATGCTATATTTTGGAGTCAGAACTTAATGTGAAATATTCAATCCAAATTCTCATGTCTTCAATTCAGGAACATTTTCTACTTTCATTTCTTCTAATACTGCATTTTCTTTATTCCATCTAGTCTTCCTTTTGGAATTTCTACTAGGCTTATATTGAACATTTTATTTTATCCTCCAGGCCACTTTCATACTGTACCATCTGTCTTTCCTTCTGCACTTTATTCCAGGTGCTTTCTTAACATGTGTCTATCCATTTACTAAATCTCAATTCAGATGATTTCAGTCCACCATTTAATTCATGTATATGGGTATGTGCACATATATGTACACTTCAATTATATTTTTCATTTCTATTTTTCCAGTTCCACATGTGCTCTTATCTCAGTTCCCTGTCTTTATCTTCATTTATATCCTGGAAAATTTTACAAAGAATTCCCCTGAAATCATCTTCAGCAGAAGCTATTGTTGAAAATAAATCCTTGGTGCCATGGATTATAGATGGGGGATAATCTCATGTTTTCTCATATACAGCACAAATTTGGAGCCCCCTACCTCGGGGTGATTTAGGCTTAGGTCCAAATTCTTTGGGGGGCTTCTTTTTTCCCATCTAATCTATACCTTCCTGTTGTACCTTTTAATTAAATAGGTGATTTTTTTCCCCTCCTCTCTCTCATTTCTAGAATGGCAGTCCTCTTCTGTTTCTGGCTTTATGGAGTTCGGTTTTAGGTCTCAGCTATGATTGGTATAGACCTGACTCCTGACCCAGCAGGAACATTAAACCTTAGCACTATATTAGATTTAAGATATTCTGGAAAGCCATAATTAATTCACCCCAAGTTAGTATTTGGAAATGTATCTTTCCTGCTTATACACTATATTATGTATTTAGAAGTTGTGTTATATTTTATCCAGTATTTCTGTGTTTAGAAAAGAGGAAGGATCTTTATCAACTCAGTCCACCATATTGAACAGAATTCTGCATGTAGTGGTCTTTATACCAGCATGATGCAAGTTTTTTTCCTGATCACTTGGGTATTTTGAAAGCACCTCATAGGTAGGTCAAGTATTTGGGATTATTCTATATTGTTTGGAATTCAACTTCTCTAAAACAAATACCTAAGGTCCTAGTTACAAATTTAAATCTAGATCTCTTATTCAAGAATTATTTTTAAACATATGCTTTGCCTTTACTTTAAAAACTCTCATAAAAACAAAAATTATCTTACATTAGTAGCAAAATAAATATATTTTCAGTTTGCTAGGATATTGACAGCTTACCTCTAGTTTAACTGAAATGGCAGCACTAGTGACTATCAAATGCTTACCATATGTCAGGAATGATACTAATCATCCTCCCAACACTAAAGCAGACACTATCACTCCCTTTTTACAGATGAGACACTGAGGCTCAGAGAGATAATATTTCTCACTTAACGTCACATGGCTAGAGAATAGTCGGTGTGACTCCAAAATAAGGCTCTTAACTATCACACTCAGATCTATAAATTTATTTGTAAATGTAGAAAGGGGAAACCTCTATATCTCAAAATAAGATGATGAATTGTACAGGTCCTAAGTCAAAGACAGCCATAAATCTGAATCCCAGATGATTCAGCTGGTGGTATCAACCAGGCTCAGTACTATAACACAAATATATTTATAAAAAAATACATTTGACACTTATTTTCCTTAGTAAGAATTAATGTGTTGGACATTAAGAATTTCAGAGAAATTTTATAATCATAACATAATAAATTCATTTTATCCACTTTTCCTTTTTCCATATTAACATTTAGCTATTAAGTATATCAAAAGGTAAAATGATTTCTCACTAAAAATTTATTTTGAAGTATTTAAATTTAAATTTTTTCAATTAAAATTTGGATAAAATTATTTGCAAACATTTTACATAATAAGAGAAAAAAAATAAGAGAAAAACACTTACAGGACTGGAAAGAAGAGGCAATCCAGTTCGAGGATGAAAGGCTCTGGTTGAGGTTCCATCCAAGGAATGAAAATTATGTTTCTGCCAGACACTTGAATGTTTAAGTGATATAGTTCTCTGCTAGGAAAATAATTAGATTTTAATAGTAACATTTAAGTTTTTTGTTTTTAGATTTATTTTTAATATGTACTGAGGTATTACATCCTTGGTGGTAAAGTTAATGACCTATAAACCTGTCTATACACACATATTCATTATTTGTTGTTAAGTCGCTAAGCCATGTCTGACTCTTTTGCGACCCATGGACTGTATCCCGCCAGGCTCCTTTGACCATGGGATTTTCAAGGCAAGAATACTGGAGTGGGTTGCCATTTCCTTCTCTGGGGTATCCTCCCAAACCAGGGACTGAAACTGCATCTCCTGCAGTGGCAGGCAGGTTCATTATTATCATCTGAGGCACAAGAGAAGACCACATACACACACATTTATATACACTTTAATTAGAAAACAGAGTTTAAGAGTTTTTTCTAAGATGCTGAATAAACTCAAATAAAGTATGTCCAACGTATGCCTTTTTGTTGTTCAGTTGCCCAGTTGTGTCCGACTTATTATGACCCCATGGACTGCAGCATGCCAGGTCAATGTATTTTATACTTAGTCTAACATTAGTAAGCTAATATTCAATTTTTTTAATTTGTGAAAAAAACAACTTCTCATAGTTAGAAAAAAATTAGTATAATATGCTAAAATACAGAACTATGTCAATAGCAAGAGCCCTCCTCAGAAAATATAATTTGGTAGTTAGTGCATGATACAAGAATATAAATGTGAATTTTAAAATATACTTAACACAGTCACAGTACCGTTTTTGAAGTGATATAAGCAATAGACTAGTTCTTAAGAATTTATCCAAGTTTATACTCAGAAATCAAAAATTCATGAAAACACATGGATAGAAATCAGAAAGAACTAATGGGTCCTGGCTTTAATATTTCCTAGCTTTATTACCTTGGGCACATCATATAACCTCTCCAGGACTAGAGTCCTCATTTGCAAACTTGAGTTAGTAACAGCACCTAATCTCACATCATAGTGAAAGGAATTTAGTAAGCCAAAGTGTATAAAACATTCATAAGAGTGCCTAGGCACATAGCAAAGGCTGTATAATTATATTTAAAGTAAGAACATGAAAAAAACTAATCGTAGTAGCTTGAAAAGTACCATGGTCAAAGTAAGCCTCCCTATAATGTACCAGAAAGGATCATGAAAAGCTAGCATTCTTAAGGTCAGGGTAGGTTTTTGTGACAACGTTTTAGTAAATTGGAAACTGAAATTTGGTTAAACCCATGTGTTAGAGGAGAGGAAATCTTCTGTTGAAAAACAGCAATTGGAAACATGGCATAATTTTAAGACTCTAATGTCCAACAAGACTAATCTGCCTGATAAAGAAGATGAACCAAGGTCATTCAGATTCGGATCAAGGCAGTTAAGTAGTTTTTCATATAACTGAGATATAAATTTGTAATGCTTTTTAGAGAAACAAAGGAAATTTAAGCCTAATAATAATTTTCTAAAGTTAAAAAATGGTTTGGTGGACAAATAAAATGGAACTAACTTAAGTATGTCTGATTTATGTAGTAAATTAAAAGTTTAAAAAATGTTTAAAAATCTACAATTTAATTATTACCACAACTAAAAGCAAAAGAGATTCATTATTCTTACTTTAAAATTGAGGAAACTGGAAGTTTTAGAAGTGAGTGATTTATTTAGCTTCACTCAAGGACCAAATCTGTCTGGACTGGAATGTAGGTATTTTGACCACAGGTCAGTGATTTCACTAGATATTCCTTAGCTGAGCAGAGGCATATCACATTGGGCACTCTGCTCATAATGGGCCAGAGTTGCTAACAAATAACACATTAAGCTAATGACACAAGTTTCATTTCTGACTCCTTTTTACTCTCCAGCAACTGTTCCCAGTATTGAAATAAACAAAAAAGGGCAAAAGGAAGAATTTACCTAGCATTTGCTCTTAAGTGGGTGGTTTATTTATGAAGATGTTAATACTAGTTCTGTAGCAGTCTGCTCTATAGACAACGGTACTTTGGACCTTTATAACAAGATCTTCTGTAAACAAAATTCAAACCATAACAAATATTTGAGGATTATATTCGAAATGTTAGATATTACTTACCAACACCTCTTTATTTTTCAGTCGTTCACATGTGGACAAACAATCTTTTAAATTCTTTCTCTGAGAAGAGTTTTCAGAGTTTTCATCAATTGGATCTTCTTTCTTATCCTGTTCACTTCTTAATTGGTCTAGCTTTTTGCATTTGAAACCTTCACTATCTTTAATGAGATAATTTTCTATACTATTAAGTTGAGTGTTTTGTTCACATGGCTTAGGCCTTTTTGGGTCTTTATCTGAGCACTCGTTTTCATGTTTACTCAGATATCCAGACAATTCCAACACAGTAACTTTTACTTTCAAGTCATTTTTTTTTGAATTATCACACTGGCGACTGTTAAAAGATTCTGGATTATAATTTTCATTTATTATTTTGTCCTTATACTTATTTGTGCAAATCTGTTTGTCAATACTGTTACAATTTGAATGCTCTTTATCAATTTCATCACTAATTTCTTGCTTCTTAAATTGACACTCAGAAGGTGTGTTTTCTAACCTGATTGTCAAATCGAAGTTATTTTCTCTGCAGTGAGATATATTCAAAGGGGTCATTAAACCAGTAGCTTTGTTCTGTGTCTCCTGAAATGTACTTCGGATTTCACTAGGATTGTCCTTATACAGATTTCTTCTTGTTTGAGGTTGCAAAGAAGGCTTGACTTTACTGTTGCAATTAAAAGAACTAAAATATTTGTTAGATATTAAGTTTTTCCCTTCACTGATGTCATCTAACAAGGAAAATTTTGTATTAGAAATGGAAACAGAGGTGTCATCCTTGTTTTTCTTCAATAAATTTTTGTCTTCATAGGAACTCCTAAATACTTTAGAAGGAACTGAACTGGAGTCCTGCATATTGAATGATTGCCGGGGCATGTGAGATGCCATTGGATCAATATGCTCCAAGTGTTGAGCAATCCTTGCAATGATATCTTGCCGTTCTTGGAGTAAAGAGCTTATCAAAGGATTAGTCTCACCAACAGACTGACGAGAATGAAGACCATTAGAGATGCAAGTGTCATTTTGAGGAGTTTCTGGTTTTACTCGAATCTTCCCTTCACTGGTGTCTTCTGAAGAGGTGAACTCTGGACTGCCAAAAGAGACAGAGAATGTTTCTTTACATCTTCTTACACTTTCATTTTCTTGTGAAACACGGAAAAGTTTTGAATTAAGTGAACTAGATTCTTGTATAGTAAGTGGATGTCCAGAAACATGGGAAGTACTTGGATCACAATGAATCAAATGCTGAGCTATTCTTGCGATAACTTCTTGCCGCTCCTGAATTAAACAGCCTATTAAAGGATTAGTCTCACCAACTGACTGCCAGGAACTCTGGCGACTAGAGTCACTGGAATCAGCCACTGAAAATGATTTGAAAGTTCTCACTGATGTTTCATGTGACTTTTTCTCTCCTATAGTACTGAAGCCCAAAATATTGCCTTGAGATGTTCCATAGTCAGATTTACTGCCAGTGCCTGGATATAGCTTGACATTTTTGACAGCTGCATTATATTCTGGAGTTGTGCCATTTTTTGCATGTAATATTATGCTTTCAGGTGCCATGGTCCAAGTTTGTTTGCTGCAAACACGCTGTGAACTGTCTGTACTACAGTGATCTGCTTCTGTAGAATTTCGGTGCTGATGGGTTTTAAGTTCATGTTCTTGAACTCTTTTCTCATAAAGGCCAATATTAGTGTGAATACTACAGGTCAAAACTGGATAATTAGATTGTCTGGGCAGGGACTGAACGCTGACTTTCAAGGCCACATTGTGAGAAACATTGGGAACAGGAAACACATGTTCAATTGGAGTCTGTGAGAAATTCCACTGTAGGTCTACATCAGCAGCACTGATTCTAGAATCACACAGAAAAAAATGGAATCAATGGATTATAAAACATATCATTATTATATATTATTTTTAAACTTTAAACAGTCATATACTTACCTTTGTTTGCATTAGTTACTATTGAGATTTTAATCTACTTTACCATGCATGTCACTCTAACAAAACCAACATAAATAGACTATGCCTGCAATACAGACAATCTTCTTTTTAAGAACACTATAGTAGTAAAGCACTAAAAAATACTGTAATTCAAAATTAGTTGTCAAAACAGAAAAAAGGAACTTTCCATTTGCTACTAAATAAATGAATTCAGTTAATTCTATTATAATTATATGCTTTCTGTGAGGTGATTTAGAGATACTCTCTCTCTCATGGCTACCTGCCTAAAGAGACAGTTAAGACAGCTGTTCAGCAGCTTGTGTGTTTACAGTTTTCAAGATCTAAAAAGTAAGTAGGTTTACCATTGTGAAAATTCAGCAGCCCAGAAAGTTTTTCTACTTTATTTATAATGGTGGTATGAATTCATTGTTGGTTCTATAAAGTAAGCTTAACAGTTCTCTGAAAACAAATCTACACCAAATTTAACCCAAGAAGCAAAACTCATCTTGAGTCATATCATATCTAAATTTCTCTAACTTGCTTTGAGAAAAACTTGAGTAAATATTATCCACTTACATTTAGAAATGAAGGAAATAAACTGCTTAAAAGGTCAAACACCATTCAGCAGTTAACCACTGTAGCTAAATATGCATGGTTCTTTTTCTGCACTAGACATACCTGTAAAGAATATTTCGTGGAGTAGCACCATGAGAAACACTCAGCCAAGCACTTAATTGAGAAAAAAACACAAATGAGCGGACAGCCAACAGGAGAGTCTTCTCTTCAATAAATCGATCACCATTCCTAAGGAAAGTCAAAAAGCATCATCTAAATGTCAGCAAGTATAAAATGACTGAATTTTAGAAAGAAACTGGTAAATACATCACTCAGGATATATGTTTTCAAGAGTGTGGGAGTACATTTACGAGTGTCACTTGAAGTCACAGAAGTACAAAATAGGTAAATTTTAATACATAAATAGAGAGATTCAAAGACATATTATTAAAGTAACTCAGTTCAACTTACTGTCGAGGAACTGGCTCCAATATCCATCTTTCTAATAATAACACATCTTGTTTAATAGCAGGATCATTCAGATCAATTCCTTCGGTGCTGGGCCCATCATCACTGTAGCAGCAGTCTGGTAATAGCATCACTTCCACCATGATTGGAAGGTTATTCTTCCACAACAATGCAACCTCAGACCTAGTTCGTCTGGCTTGGCGACACTTGGAGAAGATGGAGATAAGCAAAATGGCTCAATAGCCCATCCAATTTTATATTTCAGTTCAAAAAGTATAACTGTAAAGCAGACATCTGTATGAAAATGAGTCACCTATTCAAGGGCTTTGTTCAGGCTTGTCTGTCTATTTAGGTCCCCTCATTAAACAATGCATCAGCACTATTAACTCCAGAGTGTGGGGATTAGTAGCTAACAACAATTATGATGCAAATTTTCTTGTGGGAGGATATCTTTGCTCTATTTTGTGGAAAAATAACTGCCATGCACAATGTCTGACAGGCCTCAAGATGGCCCAGCCTTGTCTCATCTGTCAATGATATTATCATTAGTTATAGACGAAAGAGTCATTCTAAGAGCAAAATATTAAAATATTAAAAATTAATAGTTTTAACTTAAAATATTAAAGTCCATTTTCATTAAACACTCAAAATAGACAAGATTTTAGAAGTTTAAAATTTTGGACTACATTTAAAAAACTAACTGGCAGAAATATCTTTACAGCAAATTATACGCTACATACCAAAATAAGTATTTTTAACAGTATTATACAGAAACATTAATGACAGCAAAAAGCATCCTCCCATTAATGTGGGGAAAATAATAATGAACATAAATCTAATAAATAAACAAGAACACAAAGTTGATGAACTAGGGCTGAGACTAAAACTAAGGAAATCTAATTCATAGCTAACAAGGATCATCTTAAATCTGATGTGTGTGGACAAAGGTATGAATTTGGCTGCACACTTACCTGCTGATGGAAAAGCTACGTACTATACTTTTTCTTTATGTTGTAGCCAATTTTATGGTTAAATGTGAATGTTATAATTGTAATAAAGGTGATGACAAAATTTAAACTACTTTATATAAAAGGCAGATAATAAAACACATTCAACACACAATTCTCACCTGGGCCAGCTTGTCACTACATTCATGTTTTGTAGTTATTGGGTAACAGGACTGTGCTGGAGGACAATGGAAACTTTCTGTTCGACCTTTAACAGAACATTCAGGTGTTCGTCCTTCTGTTATTAACAAGGCCAGAGAGACCAAGAACTCCTCTGCATCATACTCAAAATATTCATCCAGAGTATCTAGTATTAAAAGAAAGAAAGAAAGAAAGATGGGTCCTTGCTTTAAGGTATCCTTGACAAGAATTCATTTTTTAATGTCTACAAAAAAAAATACCATAGCCCAAATTCAATTATATCCACTAACAAAGAGTGAAGCTATTTCAAGTCCTAAAAGAGGATGTTGTGAAAGTGCTGCACTCAATATGCCAGCAAATTTGGAAAACTCAGTAGTGGCCACAGGACTGGAAAAGATCAGTTTTCATTCCAATCCCAAAGAAAGGCAATGCCAAAGAATGCTCAAACTACTGCACAATTGCACTCATCTCACACACTAGTAAAGTAATGCTCAAAATTCTCCAAGCCAGGCTTCTATAGTACGTGAACTGTGAACTTCCAGATGTTCAAGCTGGATTTAGAAAAGCCAGAGGAACTAGAGATCAAATTGCCAACATCCGTTGGATCAAAGAAAAAGCAAGAGAGTTTCAGAAAAACATCTATTTCTGCTTTATTGACTATGCCAAAGCCTTTGACTGTGTGGATCACAACAAACTGTGGAAAATTCTTCAGGAGATGAGAATACCAGACCACTTCACCTGCCTCCTGAGAAATGTGTATGCAGGTCAAGAAGCAACAGTTAGAACTGGACATGGAACAACAGACTGGTTCCAAACTGGGAAAGGAATATGTCAAGGCTGTATACTGTCACCCTGCTTATTTAACTTTTATTCAGAGTACATCATGAGAAATGCTGGGCTGGATGAAACACAAGCTGGAATCAAGATTGCCGGGAGAAATATCAATAACTTCAGATATGCAGATGACACCACGCTTACGGCAGAAAGCGAGGAAGAACTAAAGAGCCTCTAGATTAAAGTGAAAGAAGAGAGTGAAAAAGTTGACTTAAAACTCAACATTCAGAAAACTAAGACTGTGTCATCTGGTCCCATCACTTCACGGCAAGTAGATGGGGAAACAGTGGCTGACTTTATATTTTGGGCTGCAAAATCACTGCAGATGGTGACTATAGCCATGAAATTAAAAGACACTTGCTCCTTGGAAGAAAAGTTATGAACAAGCAAGATAGCCCAATAAAAAGCACAGACATTGCTTTGCCAACAAAGGTCCGTCTAGCCAAAGCTGTGCTTTTTCCAGTAGTCATGTATGGATGTGAGAGTTGGACCATAAAGAAAGATGAGTGCTGAAGAATTGATGCCTTTGAACTGTGGTGTTAGAGAAGGCTCTTGAGAGTTCCTTAGACTGCAAGGAGATCCAACTGGTCCATCCTAAAGGAAATCAGTCCTGAATATTCATTGGAAGTACTGATATTGAAGTTGAAACTCCAATACTTGTCCACCTGATGTGAAGAGCTGACTTATTTGAAAAGACCCTGAAGCTGGGAAAGACTGAAGGTGTGAGGAGAAGGGGACGACAGAGGATGACATGGTTGGATGGCATCACCGACTCAATGGACATGAGTTTGAGTAAACTCTGACAGTTGGTGATGGGCAGGGAGGCCTGGCATGCTGCAGTCCATGGGGTCACAAAGAGTTGGACACAACCAAGTGACTGAACTGAACAAAGAGTGAAAAAAGAGTAAAAACAAGGCAATTATGGCATAAAATTATTTTTATGTAAACTTCAATTAAAATATTTAATATCAAGGAATAGAAAAAGCAAGAGAATTCCAGAGAAACATCTACTTCTGCTTTATTGACTGTGATAAAGCCTTTCTGTGGATAACGGCAAATTGTGGAAAATTCTCAGAGAGATGGTAGGATATCAGACCACCTCACCTGCCTCCTGAGAAACCTGTATGCAGATCAAGAAACAACAATTAGAACAAGACATGGAACAATGAACTGGCTCCAGATTGGGAAGGGGTACATCAAGGCTGTATATTGTCACTTGTTTATTTAACTTACATGCAGAGTATATCATGCTAAGTGTGGGGATGGATGAAGCATGAGCTGGAATCAAGATGGCTGGGAGAAATATCAATAACCTCAGATATGCAGATGACACCACCCTTATGGCAGAAAGCAAAGAGGAACTAAAAAGCCTCTTGATGAAGATTAAAGAGGAGAGTGAAAAAGCTGGCTTAAAACTCAACATTCAAAAAATGAAGATCATGGCATCCAGTCCCATCACTTCATGGCTAATAGATGAGGAAACAATGGAAACAGTGAGAGACTTTATTTTCTTGGGCTCCAAAACCTCTGCAGATGGGGACTGCAGCCATGAAATTAAAAGATGCATGATCCTTGGAAGGAAAGTTATGACCAACCTAGACAGCATATTAAAAAGCAGAGACACTACTTTGCCAACAAAAGTCCATCTAGTCAAAGCTGTGGTTTTTCCAGTAGTCATGTATGGATGTAAGAGTTGGATCATAAAGAAGGCTGAGCATTGAATAAATGATGCTTTTGAACTGTGGTGTTGGAGAAGACTCTTGAGAGTCTTTTGAACTTCAAGGAGATCCAACCAGTCAATTCTAAAGGAAATCAGTCCTGAATATTTATTGGAAGGACTGATGCTGAAGCTGAAACTCCAATACTTTGGCTACCTGATATGAAGAGCTGACTCATTAGAAAAGACCTTGCTGCTGGGAACAATTGAAGGCAGGAAGAGAAGCGGATGACAGAGGATGAGTAGGTTTGATGGCATCACCAACTCAATGGACATGAGTTTGAACAATCTCCAGAGATGGTGCAAGACAGGGAAGCCTGATGTGCTGCAGTCTATGAGGTCACAGAGTCGGACACAACTGAGTGATTGAATACAACAAAAAATCCTTAATGATAATATTTTTGGGTGTCAAATATAATGGCTTTTATGAAGAAAACTTTGCCAACAGCCAAAAGGTTAAAATGTCTTATTACATCATATGTTTTTAGGTAAGATGTTTTATTACTATTATTAAATATTAGAAAATAAGCAGATCCAAAAGTATGTTTTTTCCTTTCTCTCCCTTTCCCATTCCTTAACTAGTTCCTAGTTCTTATAGCCCTAATTCAGTGATGTGGACAGTCACAGCCACAGGGTTCTTCTTTTTCTTTGCTACATAGTAGTAGTAGTTTCAGAGGAAGACATTTCATAATTATCCAACAGGAGATGCAGGCCTGATTGCAATATATGAAGTGTGATGTTTTTTGGTTCCTATGCTGTTCCAAACAATCTAACCTGCAAATGTTTCACTTAGTTATATTAACTTTAAATTTCTCACAAGTCCTCCAATTTTAAAAATACAGTTAGTTTTCAAAACTGTTAACCTTCTATGCAGATTGGACATGCATGCATGTGTACATGCACACACAAAATTCAATTTATAGTACAGTCTTAAAAAGGCTGCTTTCTCTTATCTCTGCCAGTTAAACAGTCCATATAGGTGACACACACGCCTGTAATGCAGGAGACGCAGGAGACAGAGGTTTGATCCCTGGGTCAGGAAGATGTGATGCTAGTGGTAAAGAACCCGCCTGCTGATGCAGGAGATATGAGACTTGGGTTTGATCCCTGGGTCGGGAAGATCCCCTGGAGAATGGCATGGCAGCTCACTCCAGTATTCTTGCCTGTAGAATCCCATGGACAGGGGAGCCTGGTGGACAACAGTTCTTAGGTTCACAAAGAGTTTGACATGACTGAAGCAACTTAGCACACAAGTGACTAAGCACATCCTGAAGTAGATGACAAGGGAACACAAAGTTGTACTGCATATAGCTACTAGTCTCAAACGGTTTGACTTAGAGATGATTCTTAAAACAGTGGAACATTGAAGCACACAATAAATTCCAAAGAAGTTCAGATAACACTGGTAAAATTTTGCAAAAGAGGCAGATGTTGGGCTGAACCAGGAAGAGAAAGTACAACTTGAGGGGAGCATTTGTACAAAAGAAGTATAGAAAAGGCATGACTGGAGCCTGATTGTGAATAGCCTTGAGCGGGGTATGATGATAAGCATCTACATCTAGACTCAGGAACGTCTTATCAGGAAAAGAAGGAACCGTGAGAGCCAACTTGATTGAGCTGGTATTTTAAGACCATTCTGAAAAGTTTCCCTAAAATGAGCATTTACAACATATAAAATAGCAGTCAACACTTAGTGACATTGTCAGGCACTGTCAATTCTCACTACTTTCTATACATTAACTTATTTAATCCTCAGAGCACCTCTAGAAGGTGGGGACTATTACCACCATTTTTACAGATAACCAAAGCATAGAGAGATTAAATAACTGCCCAAGATCACCCTGCTAGGAAGCTGCAAAGTTGGTATTTGAACCTACCTAAGTCTGGTTCCAGAATCTGAGTCCCTAACTACCCCAAACATGCTTTCTTTTATTGTGGCTACAAACTTTGCTTTTATATACTTTAATAGATATTTGTAAAAATATAAACACAAATAATATACATTCAACATATATTTTAATAATATATTTTGGAATAGTTGTGGTACAGGGTTTGTTTCCAGGAAAAGGACCATAACTTATAATATTGTGCCAACTGGGGATAAAAGAGAGGTCTGAACTTTCATTTTTCCTCCAGGAACCAATCAGGTCATAAGCCAAGGGTCTCCTGTGGTCTCCTCAGACACAGTGAATTAAATCATGATGTCCTGCAGAGGGAATCAAAAGATGTAAAAAGAAATCCATTCATCCTTTTTTCTCTGATGGTTCTGTGGGTTTTCAAGACTAGCTCAGCTTTGCCATGGGCTGGCAACATGGCATGATTTTAGCTCCCAGAAAATTTCTTTTGGCTCATCCTTTTCCCTCTCTCAAACTGTGGGGTAATCTTGGAGAGCTAAAAATTGTGTCAGAACAGTTGTTCCTAAGCTATGAAATGCTGAGTGATGCCAAGATGTCAACTACTCCATGTGAGTACTAAGGATGGTCCACAGCCTAAGTAATGTCTCATATATATCTGATACTATTTTTAAAATTATAATTCATCTTCCAAATGGATAAAGAAGATGTGGTGCATATATACAATGGAATATTACTCAGTCCAAAAAAAATTAAATAATG